CCTGCCATACATCATAGCAAATCTTATTACCACCTTGTAAATCTTTCCTTTCACTCTTGCTGCTGTCTTCCAGCCACTCCACACTTCCTGCACTCTCTTTTCACGTCTCTTTCACGTCTCTTGTGCATCGTCTGATGCTGATGCTGGTTGACCCTAAGCATTTATTCACATGCACCTTTTGGCTTATTTCCAAAGCAAAAGAAAAGAAGTCAAAACCCAGCTGTTTATATGCAAGTGAGCGCCCATTGCCGTATCCCATCCTATCAAGTTTCAACCTGGGTATCTCAAAATTATGAATTACTAACTGAAACTTATGAGGGGAAAAAAGAGAGAGAAAATAACTTGACATTTTAAGTTATTAAGTTAAAATTTTGAAATAACCTGAAATTTTGGCTTATTGATAATATATTATAATATAAACATATTTTCAATGTATTTTATTTATAATGGCGAGAATAACTTTCCATGTAGTCAAGCTTTCTAGGGAAAATCGGAAAATGGACTTTATTCTGAAAATCTTGACCGGAAGAATTTTTGTTCGCAGCGGGTCTTTTTTTTTTTTTTTAGCTCCACAGAGGAAGGACACAGCTGCGGTTCACCGTTGTTGCTAGACATGGGTGGACACAGGGACGCGAAAGTTGTGATCATAGGATGTGGGATAGCTGGTATAGCAGCAGCACAGAAACTGGTGAAAGCTGGTTTTCATCAAGTGCGGATACTGGAGGCGACAGGAAGAAGCGGAGGACGAATAAAAACTGGAAGGATCGGTGAGTAACGTGCACTTAGGGCTTTTTCAGTCAATCTGCAGTTTTTAAAATTCTGGTTCCCGCAAATTACAAACACACATTTCATTTTCTTGTCATGATGACAAGCAGCAGTGTAAAGTTTTTTTTTATTTCCTCGCACTACACGTTCATGTTGGATGTACTGGATGACCTAAAGTAAAATCGCAGCATACATATGCATGCCAGGGATATGATAGAAGGACTTTGGATACTACTTTATAACACCTTATAGCACAACTGTAAAATGAGCTGAAGTCTGGCAGAAACTTACACATTGTATAACTGTAATGTATAGCTCTTCCGAGCGTCATAAAGTGGTGTGTGGCAAAGGTTTTGCGGACCCATATGCAGGATTCGTAAGAGAGGAAAGCGAAGTAAAGAAAGAAGCCTTACTGCTGTAAACTGTTCAAAATACAAGATGCAAATAATGTGTAGCAGAAGGTGAAAACGCGAAACACACACTGAGCACACAACTATAAGGGGGGTGGCGACAAAAAACAATGGAAAACATTGCCAAAGTATTCCACTCACGATATGATATTATTGCGATTGTTAACATTTTGCAATATGCTGCTACCATTCTGCAACTGACTGGATCAAGTTGGTAATGACATTCAATATGTTTTTGATTATACAGTAACTAAGAGTGATAAATTACTGAGAGCCACATGTAACAGAAATTAATATTTAACTGTTACATTTGAGTTCAGTAACCTTTCTGTTCTATAGGAATATAACTAGATTACAACCAACTGGCAGCCGGTTGAGTCCCCTCGATTTGTGCTAACTGACAAAGCCTCATTCAAACCGATTGAAACATGGCAGGAGTTTGTCTACATTTATAAATTAGACAGCTATTATTTTAAACCTTCAACAATCTCTCCTAGAGGGATTGGACTCAATCCAAGTCAGACTATAACTGTTTGCAGAAAGGTTGCCTTCTATAAAGTGAGATTATTCATAGCATCCCCAGAGTATTTTAGTTTATCGATACTATGCTGTATCAACTTCCCCAAAAAAGTAATCCCGTTACTTTACTGATTACTTATTTTCAAAAGTAATTAATTACTTAGTTACTTAGTTACTTGTTAAAAACATGATTTACAACCTGAATAGGTGATAAAG